GACTGAAATAAAAGCAGTTTACCTGCTAGAAGCCTCCTGACTCCATTCTCACACACAGAAACCAGGAAAAATGGTCAAACATCTAATGCTGGAATTTGGGCCTGAAGATTGATGGCAAATTTTGAGCTATTTTTGCACTAGGGGAAAGAGTTAAGGGTGCTTTGATTCCCAAACGTGAAAAAAGAACCACAAATGTCCAATCGTGACTCTTGCTCTAATGTCACTGCAGATTCTTGTGGCCAACTGAAAGGTCAGATTACCCCTCAAACATTCTGTATCCTTGGACTAAATCCAACTAAATAAACCTCGGCTGTGAAACCAGTCTACATTTCTACTCTCTGCCATCACAACAACACTGCTTGGAATTATTTCACGTGACCCTTAAGAACTTACCCAGGAATGCCTGCAGATTCCATTCGGTTGGCCAAGGAGACATCGTGAGACCAGACATCGTATTGCCATTTCCGAAGTCCAATCACACCACAAAGAACGTTTCCAGAATGAATGCCGACTCTCATGTTGATGTCCACTCCTGTGGCTTCCCTAACTTGTCTGCAAAATATATATTTTTATAAGGTCTCCAATTTGGAAGACAAAATGGAAAGACGCTTGATTTCTCCATCTCTATGCTTAATGGTCATACTGATATTTCAATTTTTTTTTCTCACTGTGAAAGAATGATGTGGTTGGGTTGGGAAAATGTGGGTTCAGGATCACCCATGAAGCCAGAGAGGCGAGCTTTCAGGAATGGGATTACGAGAGCACATTATAAGCACTTGCACAAAACAGGTGCCATTTCTGGAAGGCCTCCTGGAAGACATTGTTCCCCACCGCCACATTTCCCCTTGACTATTTTTCTCACTTCTGAATAAAGCACTGAGTTGCAACTATCCACCATTTTTATTTCTTAAGAATGATTATGGGAGCTAAGAGGCCTTTTTGGAAAGAAAGATTGTGTTAAATGTTTCATTATACAAGCATATCATTGGCCATTTTTTTCTTTCTAATTAAAGGAATCCTCTTACGTACCCTCTAAAAAAATCCCTGGTCCTGATCTAGAATCAGATGCAGGCAGAAAACTGGACAGAGAAGTGAGGGACCATAGCACTTTGGACCTTCAGGCACCACATAGCCTCTCTCTTAATTCTCAGCCCTTTAAGGTAAGCCAGCTCAGGAAACCAACAAGAACTACTGTAATTCTACTGTATTGTTGCAAGGTACAACAACAGAATCTTGAAAACCTGAGAGAAATTTTCTCTCTCCACCCTTGTATGCCAAAGAGATTCAAGGTGGGGCAATCTTGAGTTTCTTTCTCACCCCTTCCTCCCTTCCAGGACTAAGCTGGGGTTTACCTAACAGTGGTTGAATTCCTTCTTCAAGGCCATCTCTGTACTTCTCTACACTAAGTTATTAAGCACAATGGACATCCTGGGTCAACTATTAGGGTCAATTCTTCCTAAAATAAGAAACAGACTCTGGACTGCAACACTTCAGATTGTAGATGGAGTCTCACACAACTGAACGCTCCTCTGGATCTTATTGTTCTTGTTTTGGTGCCTTGGAGTCAGTGTTGACTCCTAGCGACTGCCTGGATTGGTCCCTGCCGTTTTCTTGGCAAGGTTTTTCAGAAGTGATTTGACCTTGCCTGCTTCCCAGGGCTGAGAGAGGGGGCCTGGGTCAATTACTATTAGGGACAATTAAACCAAGTTCTTAACCTACCCTGCTGATGGCTTAAGATTTTAGCAGATAAAGCTGAACACATCCAGGGAAATGCAAGCATAACACTGCCCAAATTCCAGGAGGTTGGCTATGCCAACTTGCTGGAGCAAAAACAATCTAGTACAGTGTTTCTCAACCTTGGCAACTTTCAGATGTGTGGATTTCAACCCCCAGAATTCCCCAGCCAGCCTTGCTGG